TAGCCTGCCTAAACACACACACACACACATAGAATAGCCCTGACTAATTAATAATGAATAAAGCCTCTGGCAAATTGAATTTTTAATTTCTCATTTTATCCTTGCCCACATTTTGTTTTGCCTCTCCTTTAGTCATATCATTTGCGATTCATTTTTATTGGGAATGTTCAGCTTTAATAGTGTAATTAAATTAAAACGCTCGTGACATTGCGATTCTTATATTACTCATCAACCAGCACCTGGTTTTATGTCTCTCTCTCACACCCGGTGCAGTCACTGCTGAGTTAAATTGCCCGGCATCAGAGAGTACTGCCAGCCTGTCTGCATTAGTGTCCCTGTTCACGATGCATATCTAATTAGTTTCTACAATAGTATTGTACTCGGAGCTCGAGGACCGACTGCAGAGCTGTGGAGGTCTGGCTGTGATTTATGGTCGTGTTTGAGTCGTATTTAGGAAGTCACTGAGCCTGAATTGGCCCGTATTCATCTCTACGTTTGGGTTTCACTGGTGTGACATAATAGTAAGACTATTGAAGTTCACTGTCATTTATAATGAAGAGGTTGAAAATCTCTGCAGTTCTCTGCATTCATACATTTGTGTTTTAAGCCGTCAGCTCTCCTATACATGTTGAGATAATTCTCTTACCTTTCAGCTTTGCAAAATTCTGCATAAGGGGCCCTCCTGCCACAGGGTCACACCTGACACCCCAGTGTATTATACTGCTGCAATACAATTATAAATTAAAGCTGCGAGCAGCATTGATCGGGCCCTCACAACTTCACGCACGTCGAGGGTACTAGCAGGACTCTGGCCATGCATTTCTGTGACCATCATACACTGCGTGCACGAGTGAGATGATATTTCCTGCGTAGACCAGCAGCGTAGCAAGATCATGTTGCCAGGTCTTAAGCCTCAAATGTTTTGAGTGTACATCCGATACAATCATAAATGTAAGCCTGTTAAGATCATTAAGAAAATAAATGTGTGTGAATGCGTTTCAGTGTTTGTAACATAACAGACTGTCAGTTTACTGGGATGGGGTTCAACTCCCTGCAGTGTCCTGCTGATTATATTTGGACTTACATGAAAGTTAACAAAACGGTAGTGCCATTTGCTGTTACTTGAACACTTTAATTTAACACTGTTTTCATTTTAAGTTCTTCTGTGACTTTAGATTGTAGTGTGAAGCATTCATTGTAACATTTTACCTGATTGTCATGAAGAAGCTCTGGACAGATCATTTATACTAATGCCCACGGACATGGTTTGAGAATCCACTGTTATCTAACTTTTGCTCTCCAAGCATCTTAGTTTGCACATATTTAGATCAGAGAAGTCTTTTTCTCATGGTGTGCCCACAAACCCTTTCAATAAGTTCAGTGTTTGGGCCACTGTAATTATAGAATCCTGCTTACGTCCATGCTTATCAGTAGGTGGCGCTATGACTATGAGTTAATATTGGCATGCAGAAGTCCTAAAGACATGACAGTCAACAAGCATGTCAAGTTTGGGACAGTTTTGACAAAGTACAGTCGAGTTACAACAGCTTGATGGATGATGGTGAACCATGTAAAATGGCCGTCACACCATATCCATGTCGTTCGATGAAACTTAAAGCTTTTAGTAACTTTTAATCTCTAAGGTCTTTAGATTGTTCTGACCAAATTCTAAGCTGATCGGATTAATTCCCTAGGAGGAGTTCGTAGTACAGCACCTGGAAATGGAAAACAAACACGAGAAATTCATACAAAATTCAAAATGGCTGACTTCCGGTTGGGTTTAGAGCATGGTCCCAAGAGACTTTATTTTAAGTCCACATGTGATACATGTGCCTACCAAATTTTGTAAATCTATGTGAAACGTACAGCGAGGGCTGCTTCGTTGAAATTTTGTAGGGGGCGCTATTGAGCCGATTTGCCACTCTGAACCAATAAAATCATATTATATAACTACATTTTGGGCTTTAAATGTGTATGCCAAGTTTGCTTATGTTTTGAGCATGCCTAGCCTCTCAAAAACACCTTAATTTTTCATGGTGAAGAATGCGTCGCCACGGCAACAGCTTTTCACGAAACAACAAGCTTTGAGTAACTTTTCATCACAACGGTCTTTAGACTGTACCGACCAAATTTGAAGTTGATCTGATTAATTACCTAGGAGTTCGTTAAAGTGCAGCGCCTGGAAATGACAAAAACGACACTAGAAATTCATAAAAAATTCAAAATGGCTGACTTCCGGTTGGGTTTAGAGTATGGCCCCAAGAGACTTTTATTTAAGTCCATATGTGATACATGTTCCTACCAAATTTCATACATCTAGGTCAAACATACTGCGAGGGCTGCTTCGTCGACATTTTGTAGGGGGCGCTATTGAGCCGATTTGCCACTCTGAACCAATAAAATCATATTCCATAACTACATTTTGGGCTTGTAATCTGCTTGCCAAGTTTGCTTATGTTTCGAGCATTTTTAGCCTCTCAAAGTGACCTTCGTTGTTAACGGCGAAGACTGCATCGCCACGGCAACGGTGTTCGACGAAACATCAAAAGCTTCATGAACTGGTATTATGAACTTCTTACATTTGTGTGGAAGTAATTTGATGTTGATTTGATTTACCTACTAAGAGAAACAAGCCAAAGTATAAAGACTTTAAGTTCCTGTTACCAGTAGGTGGCGCTATGACTATGATTCAAAATTGGCCTGCAGATGTCTTCAGGCCGGGAGTCTAATCAAACATGTGCAATCTGGTAAAGATCTGATGATGTGGAGTTGAGTTACATCAGTTTATTCGTTCATGGCGAAGGATCGAAATTCGGCGAGCCGCCACGTCGCCACCCTTCAACAACTTATTACAATTTTCACAATGAAGCATTATCAAGGTCTTAAGGCTGTTCTGACAACATTTTAGAAGGATCTGATTCATCTGTGAGGAGCAGGATGTCAAAGTACACAACTTACAACTTCCAGTTGCCACTAGGTGGCGCTATTAATATGATTCTAAATTATTACATAGATGTGTTCCGGGTCAGGATGTTATGACATATGAGAGATTTGGAGCAGATTCAACAATGTACGGCCGAGTTACAACAACTTCCTGTTTCGCGGCGAATGGTGTTTTTTTGACGCCACGCCATGGACACATAGTTCGATAACTTTTTGATCTTTGAGTAACTTTTCACTGCCAAGGTCTCAAGAGCATACTGACCGAATCTGAAGTCAATCGGGTCAAATCTCTGGGAGGAGTTCGTTAAAGTATGACGCCTTGAAATGGTCAAAAAACGTCATAAAAGTCAAAATGGCCAACTTCCTGTTTGGTTTAATGAAAAACTCCAAGAGGATTTTTTTGTGCGTCTCATCACGTTCCACATACCTACCAAATTTCATACAGCTAGGTGAAACCCAATGTTGGGGCTACTCAACAGGGGGCGCTATCGAGCCAATATTTCATACCGCAGTTGGACACCCCAATCAGACTGCAATTTTCGCAAATTCTGGCTTGCGTGCCAAATTTCGACATTTTCCCAGTATCCCAAGCACCTCCTTTTTGCGACGAAACACTAAGAATAAGAATAATAATAATAATAATAAACAATCGAAAAACAATAGGTCCTCCGCTCCGACTACGTCGGTGCTCGGGCCCTAATTAATACCATTATTATATTTATTTCCGCTGCATTCAAGCCCGTTCAAACTGAATCCCCCATATTTTCTTTCATACATTTTCAATAATAAATGATTATTTTTACTATGGCTTGACTGAGTATGCAGTATGCCAAGCTAATCGGTATTTTGTTGTCAGTGTCGATCCATTGCTTTCCATCTTGCATTAGTCCAGAGTTATAACTAAACCTGGAATGAGAGACTAGCTAATAATTGTCTTAATGTTACACATTAGCTAGTTAGCTTGTGTAGTTAGTGCGTGCATCACTGGTAGGGCTGGGCTAAGGTATCGACCGAAACAACCCAGTGCCAAGTAGTATCGAAACTTCTCCAGTCTACTGATACCTTCAATTGTAACTTTCTGTGCCCAGATCTGGGAAATATATGACCATTTTCATGGCTCTGCACACGGTGATGTCTGAGCCAATGGCTAGCAGCTAACAGTGCTAACTGTGCCAGCGATGGCAAGAGTGCTGACAGAGCTAACCATTTTAACCTAAGGGGGAACCATAGGGTGACAACAACGCAGTCCTGACAGCGTGGGTAACGACTGTATGAACGCTGTGAAGCGCAGTGGAAATTAGTTAGCCAGTGATATACACACAGCTGGGCATCAAATTAAGTATTTTTTTGGTATCGGTATTACTTTAAAGGTACTGGTAATGGCACTGGCATTGTCATTTTTTAATCCTTTTTAATACCCAGCCCTAATCACAGGTCACTTAGATTCTCAACTAACATAATGCCAACTCTGCATATATATGTATGTTTCCACCACCTTGAAAATACTACGTAAATGTTCACTTGTGTTTAAACCAGAGTGCACGGTGGAGGGTTCAGGGGGCGTGGGACTGACGAGTATACACAGAGCCATGGAGTGAGCCGAGCAGTTCCCAGTAAACACAGGGCCAACGTGTAAAGTAGGGAGGCTGGGAGTGTGGAACATTTCCAGCTAATACATGTAGCCGGTGTGGGGTTCAAGGGACCTGGGATAATGGAGAGTTACCAAGATATATACAGAGCCAGTGGGTAGATCAGGGGGGGCATTGACCAGTAACACTTGCCTGATGTATTCTGGTTATCTTTTCAAATTGTGCTTTTGCACCTCTTTAAATTGGCAGCAGGCTTTTAGATGTATAAAGGCTGCTTTCTTTACTGTTTATTGTTATTTAAATTTTTTTTAAATAAGTCTGCTGTGTTCTGTTTTCTTTTTCACTTTCCAAGCATTAATACATGTTCAGCTTAAAATGTTTCTATGTCTCCTTTTCCTGTATTTTCCGTGCATGTTTCATGCTATTCAGGGTGTTGGATTGACGTGCGTTCTCCATTTCTCTCTGCAGGTGTTTCTCTCGGTCGGACCACCTGGCCCTGCACATGAAGAGGCACATCTGAGGGCAAAAAGAAAAGGAGAGGGAGAAGGTGGAAGAAGCAAGAGGAGAAATAGGAGGAGGAGGAGGAGGAAATAGGAGGAGAGAAGGATGGGCACTCAAGCTACCAACTGCCCGCCTCGTTCACCCCGTCCATAAACCAGCCGGCAGCCATAACGCCTGCGGGGCGGTGCATCCATCTGAGAGTGCTGCGAAGATCAAATGCAACGACGGCCCTCTCCATAGAGGCGGCGGCTGGAGGGACACGAGGAGTAGCTAGATTGTTGTTTTTTTCTTTAAAACTACACACTTGCAATAGTGAACGACCAACAAACCCGTCTTTGAATGCATCATCCCGGTAAACCCCAGCTCTCTCGTGTGGCTCTGGGGGCTTGGACACTGCCAAACCAACATATACTTATCTTACTTGATCAAAACATTACGCCGCTTTTTTTCTTTCTCTGTAGTCAGTGTGTTTCAACTATAAAGAACACTTTAGGTAAAGAGATAGTTCAGTGGGGAAACTTTAAATATCCATATAGTCAGTTGTTAGTGCTTTACCGGCTTTTGAAATCAAATACTCAACTTTTTTCATTGTTTTTTCAATATTTCTCATACACAGAACATCAGAAACCATCATCTGCCGCAGTCAGCTTCAGTAATCTATGTGAAGAAAACAACAACCAATCTGCAGGAGAGAGACTGTCAAGATTGACTTCCAGCATAGTTGACAATCAGGGCTCGGACGCTGGGTGTTTTTCGGTGCACCCATGGGGCCTGGTTGGTCAGCTCTCAGGCTCTCCTCCGGTGGGTGTTTGCATCTCTCACCTACGCAGAAACGCCTGCCGCCTCCGCAGGACATCTGACAGAAATGCGCAGCGACACTTTCTTCCCTTTTTTTCTACTTAGAGGACGATAATTATTCTTATTGTGGTTATTGCAAAGAATGACACTTTGTTCTTTTTTTGTCTCTTGGAGAAAACGTCTTAAAACTCACTGAATTGTGTTTGAGGAAAAAGAAAAGAAAAAAAAAATCTTTAAAATGACTTCAACCGAATGTGTGGGATGAGAAGGAGAGCGTTGTTGGTCTTTTAATCCCCATGTGCACCGGCTCTGTTTCTTCAGTCTGTAAGCAACCAGTGGATGAACAAAAAAAAAAAAGAATCATACCAACACTCAGAAAAGGGATTTGTACTTTTTTGGACTAAAATAAAAGCGGAGAGGTCTTCAGGTTTCTTTGTTTTTTTCAGCGCTGCTCTTTCTGCCCCGCGATTCACTCCAGCTGAAAAGCGAAACCCTTTGCATGACCCTTTGTGGTCTCGCACTCTTACCGGAGTCAGGCGGAGGACTCGCTGGAAAAATGGAAAACCTGTTTTCTCTTCTTCTTTTTATGCTTTTTTTGTTGATTCTGAGAGTCGTCATGGAGCCCTTTCACAGACTCCCGAGATCTCATCTCGCCGGGCAGCACTGCGGGGCACGAGCGGAGGCTGAGGAGCAGCTTTTTGCTCACTTGCGTGGGACTCAAGGCACCAGCCGAAACCTTTGTGTGGCGGTGCCGAACAGACACGGTCACGTCAGCCCGGTCGAATTTGCCTGTTTTCGTAAACATTGACTGCACTGACTTTTTTTTTTTTCAATGTTATCTGTGCTTTTTTTCTTTTCTTTTCTACAGCTGAAAAAAAATGAATTCAAAGAAAAAAAAAACTCATAAAAAGACTTGGAAAAAAAAAATGACACAAAAAACACTTCTGTCTCGCGCTAACACATTGTATAGAGAACAAGAACACATACTCCGTCAACACACAGACTTACACTGCGGTTTCTTTGCTCACGGCTCATCTTGAGATAAGACTAATAAGATTTCGGAAAATAATTATTAAACGAATGAACAGAGTTGGAAAACAAAACACTGCATGGCAGGCTTTATTGCGAACACACACACGAGCTCATGTACACACACAGACACACACACACACACTCTTCCTGGAATTATATGTTCTGCTCCCAGATCTTTTTTCACAGTAGGAATTTAGCAACTGTTGTTTAGTAGAAGAGTATCTTAGCTCTCGGCTGGAGGTAACAAACGATTCCAAATCCTTTGAAGTGACAAATCACCTTGTTCTCGGGTCCAGCAATCACCCACATATCCCTCGCTACAGTTTGTGCCTCATTTAAGCAGCGCTTTCGCTTCAGAGATTCCGGTAACGTCGTTGGTTATGATTGAGGGTATAAACCACTGCTTTCGTCGAATAATAAATAGAAGTAAAACAATTGCAGCAGGTCTTTTTTTGCAAAGCATGTTGAAAACATGCCAATAATCCTCATATACTTTTCTACCCTGCCTCTCGTGTACAGTGAATTTGAATGTCTTGACCTGGAAATCTGGGAAATCAGTTTTCCAATAATTGAAAGTCCAGTGAAAAAAGTGACTAAATCGACAGAAACATTTGTGGAAAACAGTTATTTAAAAAAAATAGATTTTCATATAGACAAACTGTCATTGGGATCACAAGCTCCTCAAACTTCTTTCCCATAACATATATATTGTTGTTGAGGATTGAGTCTTGTGGTAACCCCCTGCATTCATGTTGGTGATATATCAATGAAATTAATTTGAACACCTCAAGGTAGCAAATTAAATCTCTGTGCCAAATTTAATTTTGGCATTCTAATTAGCACATCAAGGAAGTGAATAAAATACTTGTTGATGCCAAAGGCCTGTGGGATGGTTTGCTAACAGCCGTTTGCTAGCTTGCTAGCTAGTAACACGAAGCCAACTAGCTAGCTTGGGGCAATGCGTGCAAGACATGGATGTATTATAAGATCTGGATCTTAAGGTCTTATTATACATCTGTGGTACAACTGCCACAAGGGATGTAGGACTGTCGTTTTCCAACTTCTTGTTGTGAGCGAGTGTTTATGAGCATGTCTTCAAAAAACACACATGGCCTGCTGGGGTGTTTTCTCAATTGACTTTTATCTGTGAACTGAATGTAAACCCTTAATGCTAAAATGTCCAATGTATAAAATGATAAATTATATAAAACTGTGGCGAGCACATATCCACAACGCCTGCTTCCTTCACCTAATGGTTGCAGGACAAAAAAAGAATCTCTCCTTGCAATCAGGGCATTGCTGATACCGCCAACACTGACACCACTGCTCCATCCGCCCACCACCACCTATATGCCCCGTAGCGCATGCAAACAGTTTTAACACTCGCTGCTGTTGACTGGTGCAGCTGGGTGAGGGCGTAGGGTTCCCTGAAGCTGGCGGGGGGATTTCACATCCCAGCGTGCCCAGTCATCGCGCCAGTCAACCTTGCCAGCCTTCATTAGGTGAAATAGTGAGAACATTCCCCTTTGAGGGGGTTTATGGTGCAGCTTCGAACAATCGATACCAAAAACCTCCAGCGTGGAACTGCCCTTTAGCCACGGGCAGAGTCTCCCCGGTCAGGGGAGATCAGCGGGAGACCGCCTCCATATGAGGCCTCTGTATCCAGCGGCAGCTTTTTCTCTACTAACTCTCTGTTTCTGCTAAATACGACGTAAAGCAACCCACATCTGAGATGAATCCACCGTCTCACTTTTGATTTCAATTCATTGTTCGGTTTCTGTTACTGAAGCTCTATTGATGGTTGTTTTTCTTCAGATTGGATGATGCAAAGTCACGCTAAAATGTTGAGACATGCGACCGGATGTATAAGGAGCCCTCCTATACAGGATGTACAATCATAGAGGGATGGGGATCGTAGCACTTTTGTGAGGCTTTTGATTGCATGAATGTGTACGTATGTATGTGTCCCCATTAGGCATACTGTAAGGGAGGCAGTGATTCAGCAAAGTGGTTGATAACAGATTTTTTTTTTACTGCTGAACATGTGTGGGAGAAATGTTGGTTGATGCATTTCCTGTTTGAAAATGCTGTTAATCTAAGCAACGGCTAACAATGTGTTTATTAGGTTTTTGTTCAGACCCCTCATTTGTTCATACATTCATTCATTCATTATTTCAAGTCATGGAGCTTGATGACTTGAGCCAAAAGAGATGAAAACTTGCACTTTGTATTAAAAGACGCTAAAATCAGACTCCTCTCTGCCAGACTAGTTTAAGTGGTAGTTTTCTGAGGGACATTTACTAGATTATTCAAAGATGGGGGAAAAAAGAATAATACAAATATCTGGATGTAAATCAGATCTTAAAGATGCCACTTACATCATAAAAACTAAAATGTTTAGTAACAGTATTTTCTGAGCTGGTAAGGGCACAAGAAGACCTACTTTACAAAAAAATCGGATCAGTCAGTGTCTTCTTGCAGTGGCAAACGTTTTCATGCATAGTGACTCAAAGCTGAAATTGAATAACAATTTAAATTGATGTTTTTTTAAAAAGATTACGATATGTCTAGGTTAAAAATCAATAAACAACGAAAGTGATGAGCCTTAAAGGTGCAGTGTGTAGGATGTGGCGGCATCTAGCGGTGAGTTTGCAGATTGCCACCAACTGAAACTTCCTGTGTGCCAAGCGTGTAGGACAAGGGTTAGCAACCTTTTTGATATGACATGCCATTTTTAAATGTTCTTGTTAATCAATGTGCCATATCAACATTAAATGTAACATTTATTTGAATTATGACACCAAATTCAAAATTGAATTCTCCAACTGACTTTTTAATTGTATTCCATCCATATAGGCAAAGTGCATATACAAGCACTATACAAGAAGGCTGCCATCCTCATGAAAACATCCACATCTGAATTAAAATGATAAACCCTACCAACCTCCCACCAATCTTGTTCATCAGCAATAAACTTAACAAATTCTGAGAAGGTGGCAAAGACTGCTAGCCAATCGGAGGCAGAGTAGGACGGGCCTTCGTGGAATGCCAATGGGAGATAAAATCAATCATACTAATGTAAATAACAGGCCAATGGCAACTGCCAATGGTATGCAAAAAAGTGAATTGCCCTATCTAGAGCCAGTGTTTGGTTTGTCCGTTCTAGGCTCCTGTCTAAAAAAATAGCGTCCATTTCCGTAAAGAGGAACCGCTCCATATTTAGAAATAAACGGCTCATTTGAAGGCATTGAAAAAACACTTACATTCCATTTCTGCCAATGGAGCCCTTAAATGCTACACACTGTTACTTAAAGTACACTCGAAGGAAGGCGTCACTTTCAGGACATTTCTGTAATCTTTTTAGGAATGACATATTGATCAATTGTGTCCAGAACAACAAAGATGAGCGTACAACAAAGATGAGCGTGCAGCAAATACAACTCACAGTTCTTCTCTTTCAGTAAAATCCATCTTGACATCGGACAGATCTCAAAGTCCCTTCAAAAATACTTTAGCTTCCTTCGTGTTGAAGCAGGTTTTCTGTCACAGTGTTGCTACGGGTCTTCCGTCGTCCCTCAGGGTCCTCCAGGCCAGCTAGCAGCCGTCCCACAGCTCTGATTAGCATTAGCACTCCCGGGTCCTCTTCTCTAGTCGCAGTTCAGCTAATGAGATAGCTCTGGGTCACAGGGAAACTCAGTGGTCTGGAGAAAAAAAAACAACAGGGACCTTGAGCCCGGACCGATTCCAGCACCATGTACCCAGTGGACAGATCTGATGTGGAACAAATAGAAGATCCCGTTAGCATTGAGAAATGCCAGGAGACAGCGAGATGTTTGTTACATAGACTAAACTACGATGTGAACAAAGAAGTTCCCTGCATGAATATTCAAATCATTAAATCAGCCTGTGCGTTTTATCTCATGGATTAGGGATAAAATAAATTACCATTTATCTGCAAAGGCCCTACAGATATAAAATCCACTCTGTGTCTCCAAACCCTCCCTCTTCCTTCACAGTTAAAGGGCCATGCTTGTCTTCCTCCATCCTCACCCCATCTCTCCCTCTCTTTCCACAGCAGTTGTCTATGCACTATCAGCCGCAGGAATGCTGAATGCACACTTTACACGTTTTGCCCCAAAGATATGCATATTTGCAAGTTAACTGCTGTGAATGTAGTAGATGTAGAGGAAAGAGCCGAGAGGGCAGAGACGCAGAAGAGGAGCGTTGGATGCAAGGTGGAAGGAGAGGGATTGTTTTTCTTATGATCGTCCCATTAAATCTTAATTACCAGTACACTCCGACTCTTCGCGCTTCATAACGTTCTCAGTCTCTTGTCTACTGTCAGCTGGAGCTGAACTCATTGTTCACAAATGTAAAATAATGTTCTCATGGTCTTCTAGGCAGGAGTGAAGAGGCTTTACTTTAAGTTAGCTTCTGAGCACACTGCGAATAGTTGTTGTCATATTTCAAAGTCACAGGCGGGCTGGAGACCATTCCTAAACATCAAATGGTTAATAAATCCAGAGGAGAAGTTCTATACTTTGGGATTTATTGTGGACGCTTACACACTGGCAGGTTAGTCTGAATGCGGAAATGGTTTGCCCAAAAATACAAAGTTTTTTCAAGTGCAAAAAAAACTGCGCCCAAACCACCTGAATGAGGTCGTCCGAAAGGTGAACTGTTGACAAACTTTAGCGCAGTTCGTCTGCGGTCAGAAAGCAGTTCGTACTCCACGAGGAAAAACTTGTCCGCATGTCATGACAAAGTCATTACTGGCATCCTCGCAGAATTCGGAACCCCAAACCAACAAACCCAGTGAGACAACCGCCTTCAGACATCATCTTTGACCACAGCCAGTTGTTTGGACACAGTCCTTTAAAGGGACCACGCTTCAGTCTCCACAGTTTTCTACCATATCACCCTGAAGAAGGAAGCTTTTGTAAATAGCGGGAGATCTTACGCACAGATCTCTCTGTGTGAAACAAAACCGGGGCGACGGCACCGTCTCAGACTTTTCAGCGCTTCTATAGACTTGCTTTAGTTCACGCAAAACATTGCACTACATGATCATACTTAGCTATCGCACTACTTCCATGAGCACGCACTGCTAGCTTAGTTTATTGGAGCACTCTGTCAAATATCCACTTAACATTTCGTTACATGTCCAGGATGCTCTTCGCCACCAAGAACCATTTACTACAGGTCCACTTGCGATAGACCAGTGTGATGCATCGGCTTCCAGTGAAATGCCTTTTTCATCTCCGTCGTTTGGGAGGAGTATGTCGTACTTTGCAAACATTCAGTCATGCTGTGACTTGGTTGGAACTTTCTTGGTATCAGTGGCATCCCTGACTCTGTCTGTCTGTAACTACTGTGTTTGTCCATGCTTGATGTGTCAGTATATAAGAGATTCACAGATCTTTACCCCTGTCCTTGTGTCTGTATGTTTCACCTCCACCCACTCAAAACCCTCTCCGCCAAAACCACGAGCAGTCAGAGCCCTCTGGGGCCTAAAAGTCTTCAGATATCCGGCTGTACTAGGGAGTTTTCTCAAGAGCTATATGCTGCTTGGGAGCTCTTAGCAGTTCTTTGTCGAGACTGCAATATCTTTTCCACCTTTCCAGCTAAAT